GCGCCCCCTCCCCCCCATATCAGGCCACATGCCCTCAATATGGGGGTGCCCCCCCCCCCCCCCCAAAGCACCTTGACAAGGGTCTTTCCCACAAGCAAAAAAGGACAGTGAAAAGAGATTCACCAGAAAAAGTGGTTACCGTATTTTCCGGCGTATAAGACGACCCCCTAATTTTCCTGTTAAAATATAGGGTTTGAGCTATACTCGCCGTATAAGACTACCCCTCTTCCAACGCACACCAAATAAAAAAACATCAGATTTGATTTCAATATGGTATGGTATTTCAGTATGGTATTCCAATGATGGGGTGCTATTCCTCCCACTGACACCAATGATGAGGCACTACTCCTCCCACTGACACCAATGATGGGGCACTATTTCATCCACTGACACCAATGATGGGGCACTATTCCTCCCACTGACACCAATGATGGTGCCCCATCATTAGTGTCAGTGTGTGAGGAATAGTGCCCCATCATTAGTCAGTGGGAGGAATAGTGCCCCATCATTAGTCAGTGGGAGTAATAGTGCCCCATCATTGGTGTCAGTGGGAAGAATCGTGCCCCATCATTGGTGTCAGTGGGAGGAATAGTGTCCCATCATTGGTGTCAGTGGGAGGAATAGTGCTCCATCATTGGTGTCAGTGGGAGGAATAGTGGCCCATCATTGGTGTCAGTGGGAGGAATAGTGGCCCATCATTGGTATCACCCCATCATTGGTATCAGTGGGAGGAATAGCACCCCATCATTGGTGTCAGTGGGAGGAATAGCACCCCATCATTGGTATCAGTGGGAGGAATAGCACCCCATCATTGGTATCAGTGGGAGGAATAGCACCCCATCATTGGTGTCAGTGGGAGGAATAGCACCCCATCATTGCAGTGGGAGGAATAGTGCCCCATCATTGGTATCAGTGGGAGGAATAGTGCCCCATCATTGGTATCAGTGGGAGGAATAGTGCCCCATCATTGGTATCAGTGGGAGGAATAGTGCCTCATCATTGGTATCAGTGGGAGGAATAGCGCCCCATCATTGGTGTCAGTGGGGAGGAGGAATAGTGCCCCATCATCGTTGTGTCAGTGGGGAGAACAGTGCCTCATCGTTGGTGTCAGTGGGGGAGGAACAGTGCCTCATCGTTGGTGTCAGTGGGAGAGGAACAGTGCCTCATCGTTGGTGTCAGTGAGGAGGAGGAAAAGTGCCCCATCGTTAGTGTCAGTGGGGGAGAGGAGCGGCTGCTCCTTCTTCCAGTGCGGCCGCTCGATTTTCGCGGGGGGGGGAACCGCTCGGCTCCGCCTCCTCGCCGGTGATTGGTCGCCTGTGTGCCTTTCCAGTGCTGGCGCCCAATCACCGGTGAGGAGGCGGAGCCGAGCGGCCGCGTGACCATCGAGCGGCCAAACTGAAAGAAGGAGCAGCCGCGCTTCCTGGACCGGATCGTCGTGGGACCGGAGCCAGGTAAGGTACAGCAGCCCCTCTGCCCACCCCTGTACTTAGTGTCCGTTGGAAGAGGAGGGGGGGCGGCGCCGCGCCGCCCCTTGAAAAAGTGCCGCCCTGACACCGGCTCGCACCGGCGTATAAGACGACCCCCGACTTTTCAGAAGATTTTCAGGGGTTGAAAAGTCGTCTTATACGCCGGAAAATACGGTACATTATGGACAGAATGCGATACTCAAAGTCGTTCCAAAAATGTATGCTTTATTACACAATATAAATGTGGACAGTTATGGTAAATACCCTGATTCACCATCACCTCAGTATGAGATAATACAAAAAGACCTAAAATCACATAAAAGCAACATCAAGACCGGTCTGAATTCCAGAGTGCTGCATACATAGTGACAAACATCTGTCTAATACATTTGCAGCACCAACACATTGGTTACACCACCAGATAGGGGATGTGTCATTGGTCCTGACAAAGCCGAGTGAGATACGCTCATCTGCAAAACGCGTTGACGTCATACATCACTTCCGGTCATACGCATTGGCGCCACACACGCTGACCAGCAGGGAAGAGGCCAAACACGCTGGCCACGAGTGGTGCAAGGCTGCACAGGCACAAAAGGGGAGAACGGAACCCGCCAGATACAGTTCTGATGGTGGGCGGCTGCCTCCGCGACTATGCCTGGTAATCCAGACAAAGAAAACTCTGAGAGAGTATCATCTATGGCTCGGGTGGTGAGTGAACTGTCACACAGCAATATGGAATGAGGTGTGTGTCCGCCATTACATATATTTACCAGCAGGAGAATACATATTGATTGACTGTCCATTTGTCATTGATTTGTTGCAGGATGGGGACAGTGTGATTCACTGGCACCCTATATATATATATATATATATCAAGATACAGAGGACCCAGCAGGCTCCATGTTTCATCAATATTAAGGTGGTCAAATAGACCGCATGTCGCGGTGAAGAAACCCCTTGAGGCAGGGCCCTGCCATCTCAATTACATTAAGGATACCAACGGTGATTCTTTTGTTACTGACTCTGCATCCAAATCATATGGACATGTTCACTGTGACTTTACATATTTTCACCACCAACTCTTGCCTTAAATAATGATCTTTGCCATTTATCAAAAAAAAAAAAACACTAGAGTGAAAAATGACAGGAGACAGTCTTTGACAAGTCATTTATTATACAAAGAAATATAAAAAAATGTCCCACAAAGTAGAATCAAGGTCAATCATGATGCCCACTGCCACTACCTGAAAAAAGAAGAAAAAAGGCTCTGCTCTCAACGCTGGCTCCTGCCGTCTGACTGCTCCGCTGGCTTGACAGTTCTTAACTATGTAAGGGGTGGGCCCCTAGTGACATGTATGCAACCCCGACATTCAGGGACTCACATTCAGTTGCTGGAGGAGTTAGAAGCATTCTCTTCATTGTCTGCAGATAGAATGTGCTGGTAACTATGGTTAGTTTCAGCCTACAGAAATATGAATGCCTGCCCTCAGACAGCCTCTTGCACACAGATAGTTTGACCCATCAGTACCAATTCCCACATGAATCCTGTGATCAGGGCATACGTCCACCCGCCATGTCATTTTACCTGTCATAGATCTGACCGGCTGCTGGCAGCAGAGGAGGATGCTGCACCTATGCCTCCCGGTAGTCCAAAAACACAGATCTGATGCTGATGGACCAAAGCACCCGTGTGCATGTAGCCTGACCAATCAGAGAAAATTCTGAAGAAAGCAGGTAAGTCATTGACCTCTATCACAACCATGTACAGTTGTGTTCAAAATAATAGCAGCGTGTTGAAAAAAGTGAATAAAGCTCAAAATTCCTTCTAATAGCTTTTATTTCCATCCACACAAATGCATTGGGAACACGACACATTCTATTCCAAATCAAAACATGAAGAAAAATATATCAAATTTGTGTTGTTCCTCTAAAAAAAAATGGAAGAAAAGTGAATATTAGACGGTTCAAAAAAAAATAGCAGTGTTTGTATTCTTCTTTACAAACTCAAACATTCACTATATAAACTGAGAAATGTTTGAAGATTTTGCTTTCCTTTGAATCACTTAATGAAGCTAATATTTGGTTGTAGTCGCACTGTTTCTGAGAACTGCTGTACATCTGTGTTGCATGGAGTCAACCAACTTCTGGCCCCTGTGATCAGGTATTCCAGCCCAGGATGATTGGACACATTCCACAGTTCTTCTCTATTTCTTGGTTCTGCCTCAGAAACTGCATTTTTGATGTCACCCCACAAGTTTTCTATTGGATTAAGATCCGGGGATTGGGCTGGCCACTCCATAACGTCAATCTTGTTGGTCTGGAACCAAGATGTTGCACGTTTACTGGTGTGTTTGGGGTCGTTGTCTTGTTGGAACACCCATTTCAAGGGCATTTCCTCTTCAGCATAAGGCAGCATGACCTCTTCAAGTATTCTGATGTATTCAAACTGATCCATGATCCCTGGTATGCGATAAATAGGCCCAACACCGTAGTATGAGAAACATCCCCATATCATGATGCTTGCTCCACCATGCTTCACTGTCTTCACAGTGTACTGTGGCCTGAATTCAGTGTTTTGGGGGTCGTCTGACAAACTGTCTCTCTGCCCACTAGACCCAAAAAGAACAATCTTACTTTCATCAGTCCACAAAATGTTGCGCCATTTCTCTTTAGGCCAGTCAATGTGCTCTTTGGCAAATTGTAACCTCTTCAGCACATGTGTTTTTTTCAACAGTGGGACTTTGCGGGGGCTTCTTGCAGATAGCTTGGCTTCACATAGGCGTCTTCTAGTTGTAACAGTACTCACAGGGAACTTTACACCTTCTTCCATCTTCCTGGAGCTGATTGTTGGCTGAGTCCTTGCCATTTTGTCTATTCTTCTATCCATTCGAATGGTAGTTTTTTGCTTTCTTCCACGTCTTTCAGGTTTTGGTTGCCATTTTAAAGCATTTGCGATAATTTTAGCTGAGCAGCCTATCATTTTCTGTACTTCTTTATATGCTTTCCCCTCTCCAACCAACTTTTTAATCAAGGTACGCTGTTCTTCTGAACAATGTCTGGAACGACCCATTTTCCTCAGAATTTCAAAGAGAAATGCACTGTAACCAGCATGTACAACATTTGCTGCCTTCCTTCCTTAAATAAGGGCAATTATCCACCTGTTTTTCAAAAAATGAATGACCTCACTAATAGAACTCCACACGGCTATTATTTTGAACATGCCCCTTTCAATTAGTGATTCAATTACACAGAATCAGCAGCATGCGTGTCATGACTGTTGGGTCTGTTGGATTTCTATTACTCTACTACACCTGCTAGTAAATTATTTGCCATGTAGAAATATAATTTCTACCAAAAACAGTGATTGATCCGGTTAGTGATGTCTGACTGCTATTATTTTGAACACAACTGTATGTATGAATTGGCAATTAGGAAATATATATCATAACAGGTGATGGAACGGCCAAAATCACATTTGCACTACTTCATGCTGAATGAAACATTCCCTGTCTTCCCCCACAATGTCTATCTCACCCATCACTCTACCCTTTAAAACAGTTACTGTCACTAAACCCGGCCATGGACGGAGCGATTTTCTTTGCTGCAAAGAAAGTCGCTTGATTCTGCTGGGGGGTTGTTGCGGGGGAAGCCCATTCCTGCCAGAAGAACACAGTGGTTACTGCTAAAATCTGACAGCCTGATTGTACTCAGGTTGATTGATCGATCAACTTGGTTAAATTCAGCCCGCTTATACATGGTTCAAATCTCGGCTGGTTTAGCAGGGACCGGCCGAGATTTGAACCGACAATGCTCAGCTTTACTCATAGTATCTTTAAAGATGCCAAACCTGCAGAGAAGCCAAGGAAGTCTCGCAGTAACTCTCCTACTACCTGCAGCTTTCCCTTCTTCCTCCTGATGATCACAAACATCACTACTGTATACTGTAATGAGTAGAAGAGGTAAGTGTTCCTTTTCTTTTCTGCAGATATGGCATTTGTAATGATACTTTGTGTAAACGAAATCCCTTTACCCCCCCGAGGTGATCAGTCCATCTACGTGTATGTACAAAATATCATTCACAGAGCACCAACAGAGAAGGATGAATGAAAGACAATGAAGAATAAATGGATCTCACTTCTATCCACACTGCAGGTCCCAGTGAATTGGGATGTATAGGAAACCTCTGGTGGATGGAGATCTCTGTGTGTTCCTACATGGGGGGTAACAAGAAGGGACTCACTTTGTAAAGAGGCTCCGATAGGATTTGTAGGAAATGCCCCACTATGCCCAGCCAGCTATTTCTATCTGTACTATAGCTTATATGAATAAAAAAGATGTATGAATGGAGGGAGCAGACCGTTCAATCACCAGCCTGTCCTCTATTCACATATCACACTTCATTCATAGAAGCCATAATATGTCTTTTATGAATGGAGGAGGGGGGGCATAAAGGATGGGCATAGTCAGCACTCTTCATTAGTATGATATAACCCCGGCTGAGTCAGACCTATTAGTCTGCAATCAACAAAGCTCAAGTTCCTCTGCTGATTGGAGAGCTCTGGGTGTGACTCAGCAGCAAGTTAGATTCAAACTCAACAGTCATTTAGCTTTTAAAAACCCAACATTTCATATTCCTGATATGCACCTGCTGTACCATGTACTTGTAGGAAAAAGTATCCGGTTCTCTTTGTATTGCTTCCATTGTGTGAAATCCCTGGTGTGTTCTGCCAGTCCCTCTGCTTTCCTATCAAAAACTGACCACACTAGGCGTGAGAGTATAAGCGTGGTCAGTTCTATAGCTGTGCTGGGAACTCAGCCTGCTCTCCCTCCTATGATCAGACTTGTCCTGACATGCCACCCCCACTGGGAAGTTCAGCATGTCACTGTTTCTCCTCCCCGGCTCGCTGAGCTCCTTATGCAGCTGAGAACAGAGAGAATGTGATCACTAAGACCTCTTGCACACAGACATTAAAAAAAAAAAACTCCCCTAGAAGCTGTCCTCCTGGCAGCAGCGTTTTTGCAAAAAAAAAAAAAAAAAAAAAAACACACCTGACGCTTGTAAAAGTATCTAACACCTTTAGAAGCATCCAGCGCTTGGGCATTAATTCATTTAATTGGCCAGAATGATAATTTATTCTGGCCACTGAAATGAATTAACGCTCAAGTGCTAAACGCGACTATAGTTCAAATGCGTTTATTCACATCAAGCGTTTTTTTCTGCCAAAAATGCTGCTGCTCCTGGATACACTGACCCTGTTTTTTTTTTTTGCTGCTAAACGCTACTGCTACTAAAAGCTTCTAAAAGTCTATGTGTGCATGGACACATAGGATAACATGGAGGGCTGTTTTGAAGAAAAATAAAATATAATAATATCGCCTGACGCCCCTAAACGTGGCTGTAAAAAAAAAACGCCCTGTGTGCATGAGGCCTTATAAAAAAATTTAAAAAAAAAAAAAGAAAAAACAAAAAAAAAAACTGTATTTATAATGGTTTTTTATATCTATACACAAATGTTTTGCCTTTCATTTATATTTTAAACTGAATGGGTTGTTTTACAAGGGAGGGTTCACATTTACTTTAATGAACTGGAAAATAGATAATCACAGAATGAACCCGCAGCATGCAATCTGTTTCTAGATCATTTTCACTCCTGTCCCCAGTGTGATCTCTGTAAACAATGTTGCCTCAATATCAGATCAATATGCATCACTCTACAGCTCAGCCCCCATAATATAAACACTGCAGAGGGGACAGAACACATAATAATGTTACTTACTGGGAGCCGGAACATAAATATTGCGATCAGCAGGCGTCTTTCCTAAAGTAAACCAGAATTTGATACATTAGGAACCAGAAAATTGTTTTTGAAACTCTTCATAAATAATAAGTCACACACATATCTTCAATTAATTATCACATTAAAAAGTATACATCTCTATTCTGTATTTGCTGGTACTTTGTTTTTAATGAAGTGGAGACCTTCGGATGGTTTTCACTGATGCTGGTCGGTGAGATTTCCTGTTCCAAATGACATCAATGGTCTTCACAAATTGCCCTAAACTTTAGATAATCCTGACAATATCTGTACAATATCTGTTCCAGCCGTTTGCCTGTGTTACCGGAGCCACCCTGGACTTCACTGTGAGGGACGCGGTTTATGAGGATAATAGCAAGAAGCTGTTCTTGTTGTGAACTGTTTACTGAAGTGATGATTCTCAGCCAGACTTCTAATAGAGACCATACTATACAGCCACATGTTACCATGACTGAGCCACATAGACATTGCTGGGAGGACTCCATGTTAGTGCAGCTTTCATCATCTATTGTGTATTATTCTGCAGTGTATTCATGCTTTCCCCATTCTGGACCTGTTTTGCATTATAGATTCTAACATTGTACCTGTTTAGGCTGGCCATACATTATACAATTTTCCTTTAGATTTACCAAAACCATATCATATGAGGTCAAACCTAAACACTTTCAATTTGTATGCAATCAGGCAGGCCCCTTGCACTACATAATTGAAGGTAGATCTAAATGAAATTGAACAAAAAATTGTATAATGTATGGCCAGCTTTAGTGAACTGCAAGTTACAGCACCGTCTGGCCAATTACCAATTCTGTTACAACTTTAAAATCTAGCATACTGAACTAGGGACTGTAATTGGAGAGCTTGCTTTTAGAAATGTTTGATAACAGAACCATATGAAGGCCTTTAAAAGTGATACTAAAAGGTTCTAAAACAAACATGTTATACTTACCTGCTGTTTTTTTTTTTTTTTCCCCTTTTCCTCCTTTAAAATCCCCCAACAAAGCTGAGGGGGCTGGGCTTGCTGTCTCAGCCAATGAGGAGGCAGAGCCCGGGACAGCCAAGGCTTTTGCAAATCGCTGGATCTCGATGGGGTTCAGGTAAGTAATGCAGGGCGCTGGGGGTACTGCTAACACAGGTTTTTTTCCCTTCATGACAACCACTATAAATATCCCTCTGTGCTGACATATCATTTTCTTCGTTGTCCATATACAAGGGCTTCCTGCTGATCAGTGTGTAGGACTCATGTCTGGTTCTCCTATATGATGAATAGAGCTCTGGAGTGTAATGTGCAGTAATCTCACCTGAAGCGGAGCGTTTCCTGTATATGACGACTCCAATAACGGCCCCGATAATCAGCGCTACAGCAACGACCACAACAACCCCCGATAATTATAGGAGTATTGTCCTTAGGGGGATCTGGGGGAAACACAGAAGTAACATGATGTGAGATCTACTGACAGTCTTGTGTATTTAGTCCCAGAATCAGCTGATTGCAGGTCATAGAAGCACATTGTTCCTGCATTGTTCCATCATATCATTACAAGTGCACATTATAATTCACTAAATGAGATATAATGGTCTATAATGAAGAACAGACTCACACATGGATGATGTCAGTGCCAGGAGGATGGATTTGAGCTCAGCCAGGTCCACAGAGATTTGGGTTTCTGGAATGTGTAAACAGACCTGACACTTCATAAACATGTGTGCGGTGTTGGGGGGGAACATGAAGGATAACAATCACCAGTCCACCATAAATAACACAGTGCAGTCAGCAGGCATTAGTGTGATCATCGTGGAAGGAACACCTCGGGAAGGGTGCAAATACTTCCAAATCATTTGCAAAGAGAAGGTGTGCTAAAGAGGTTCTATATACAGAGAATATGTCTGTGTAAGCACAGTGCACTGGTATGGGGGCAGCCTATGTAGAAGCACCTGGGGCCCATTCTCACTGTAACAGAGGGGTGGGGGGATAGACCATCTCAGCACCCCATTGCAAAGAAAAAGTCCTTCCCCTGTGCCTATAGGGGTGCAGGGTGAAATGTCCTGATATTGTATATAGACAAACCTAACCATAGGTGGGGTGGGGTGCTAAATACCAAATGTTTAATGCCATGTGGTTGTTTCCCTTTGTTCTATTGTGTCCGTCTTGCTTGGTAGCAAACCACTAAGCGGGCCCTATGTTTGTACTCGTGTATATTGGCTTGGTGAAGGGCGGATGGCTGAAATGCATGGTCGCTAGATTTGGATTGCCCAGGACACCCTGTGTCGGCTGTGATCGCAGGGAGGGATACTCTTCTTTGATTCCCGAGCATTTTCCAAAGTTATGAAGGCATGATGACCACTTGCAGTTAAGGCTGTTCCATGTGTGCTGATTTGGCTGACTCAGGCTATTCTCCTGGATATCCAACAGATCATCGCTCCCAGAGCAATTGCTATGCTGATCTGTAATTTGGATCAGGAAATAGCTCTGGTGAGTTTAACGGAAATACCCAAGTGCAGTCAGGCTACACGGTTTTTTTCGTGACTTTGAGATTTTTTTCACAGTGGGATTTGTGCTTCCAAGCTGTGAATTACGTCCAAATTTAAAACCGGGATTCAATTTTATGATGGAAAGATGACCTCATTGCACAAAAATTTAGGCATTCCTGCATATTTTTTGCCCATTACTATAAAGCCCAGCTACAGGAATTAGTCAACATCTACCCCTTGTAGTGGGGGTAGGTCTAGGGGGTAAAAATCAAACAATATACAATTAACCCTCACCCCCAGTCCAGTGTTGTCCTCTTCTCCACCCAAAGCTCCAGCCTATGTGTGGTCCTTTCACTATTAACTGTCCATGGAGGGGCAAGAGTGCGACCACGGCCATGAGCAGCTTAGCCACTTCTGGAGTTTCTGGTGGTTGTACCAGAGTGATTCCAGCAGCTGCAGGCATTCCCCCCGATACCGATTTTTAGAGCTGGCGCTCAGCTCTCTTGTACAAGCAATCGGAGCAGCTAACTAGCCGCTCAATTGCTTGCACAAGAAGCAGGAGGGGAACCCCCCCCCCCCCCCATTGCCTTCCACTGCCCTCTCGGATTTCCCATCCCAGCGGGAGTCCTGAGCAACCAGCCGGTGTGTCCGACATTTACTTGGCTGTCATGCTGACCCTCTGGTTTCATTATTTTCTATGTCATTGACCTGGAACAAAATATGCAAATCAACTAAGTCAGAGTAAAATTTGGACTCTTTATTTGTATACCTGTTCTAGGTTTGTGAAGCAAAAGGGTCAGTGTGACAAACAGGCAATTATCAACCAGTCAGCAATGGCAGCCTCTATGGCCTCCTTTAAAGTGTCACTCCCAGTACCCTGCAATCTGGTCCCCCGGACCCTGCATTCACGATATCATTCACCCTGCATTCTATATCTGGTCTCCCCGGACCCTGCATTCACTATATCCGGTCTCCCCAGGACCCTGCATTCACTATATTTGCTCTCCCCCCCGGACCCTGCATTCACTTATCTGGTCTCCTCGGACCCTGCATTCACTATATCTGGTCTCCCCAGACCCTGCATTCACTATATCTAGTCTCCCCGGACCCTGCATTCACTATATACGGTCTCCCCCGGACCCTGCATTCACTATATCCGGTCTCCCCGGACCCTGCATTCACTATATCCACTCTCCCCATGCATTCACTATATCCGCTCCCCCGGACCCTGCATTCACTATATCCGGTCTCCCTGGACCCTGCATTCACTATATCCGCTCTCCCCGGACCCTGCATTCACTATATCCGGTCTCCCCGGACCCTGCATTCACTACATCTGACACCCACAACACACAGCATGGAAATGCAATTATTTTAGTAAATATAAACTGCTTAATACCTTTTCTCACCAGCAGTATGTAGCAGTCTTGTGACTTCTATCAGTGTCTGGCTGAGCACTGGCTAATCTTATAGGAGGAGTTTTCATTCTCCTCTGACTATCCTACAAAGCTGCATAACCCCTGACCCTCTGTCTGGACAGCACTGATTGGCCCTGTGCTGATCACATGCACCCTCCCAAAAGAAAAAACAAAAATGAAAAACACACCTCCTATCAATACACAGTAAACAGAGCATGTGTAGACTTGCCACTGCTGCTCTATCTATAGCTGATGGATTGGGGACAGCAAAAAAAGGGCAGGATCAGAGAAGACAGGATCAAACAGCCATTTTTACACAAGGCAGAGGATTACCCTCTTAAGTTCCACAGTGAGTATAATAAGTATGATTTACAACATATACAGACTGATTTTACTGTTGTGGGTTTAGTAACACTTTATCTGTAAATTCTCAGTTATGTATGAACTAACCCTTTAAATCCAGAGTTACCGAGGTACAAAAGAAGAACAAATCCCTCCATTGGCAATGTTACAGAACAGAACATGGGAGAAATACTTTTGCTAATGATTAATATATCAAGAACAATATATCTTATATATCTGACAGTGATCATTGGTACAATATGAAATGATGACATGCCAATGACATGGAGATTCTGGAATTTTCTACAGATAACCATACAAAGGCAGATCTTTCATTGTAAATGGATTTCAAATCTCAACAAATCACCGACCAGCCACAGTGCAGGAAATACTACCCCAGATACTGCTGTGTACGGTCTGAATGCTATTTCTGTATTTCAGTACTTTGTTTTGTTCCTCGGTTGCACTCGTTCTCATTCATTTAGTGACACAAACACAGCCGGCTTATTACAAAGGATGTTTCCATTTTAGCATTACTTGTGATAAACACACAGGGGGAGATTTACTAAAACCGGAGCACTCAGAATCTGGTGCAGCTGTGCATGGGAGCCAATCAGCTTCTAACTTCAGCTTGTTCAATGAAGCTTTGACAATAAAACCTGGAAGCTGATTGGTTTCTATACAGAGCTGCACCAGATTTTAGTAAATAACCCCGTGGTGTATGGACAGATAGCAGCAAAGTCCTACTTACTCACCCCATTTCACACTGAGAGTCTCATCCCCCAGGCTGCTGTGGTCCACATGACAGAAGTAAGTGTCTCCCTCCTTGGTTGGCACTTCCACACTGACTCTGATCTGATAGGTGCCATCAGGATGGGGGAGAATTGGAGTCATTTCATCTGAAGGAACATGGTCCTCCCCATTCCTCATCCACTTCACATCCACAGGTCGGGGGTGAAACCCGTACACCAGGCACTGAAGTCTGGTCACATCATCCGACTGACGACGGCCCCACACCTTCACCTCTGGACGCACTGAGAGAGAGAAAACAAGGTATGTGATCTACTGACAAATGTAATCCATGTTCTCCTATGAGATGAATGTGGACACATACAGTATGATGATCTCCAGCATAGAATATGAGGTCACAGTCCCCACCATTCACTCTAATAGAAGGTGAGCTGTCAGTGATGTCAGTGGGGTGTAGATCCATCAACACAGAGCAGTCCTGAGGACATCCCTTCAGAAGACGATCCATCATGCATCTCATTGACAGGAAGCGGCCTGTCTGACTCCCAGGATGGCTCACACTGATCAGCGCTTTTGTCTTTTAACCACTTGTCCTCCAGAGATTTACCCCCCCTTCCTGACCAGGCCATTATTTGCGATACGGAGCTGCTTTACTTTAACTGACAATTGCGCGGTCATGCAACACTGCACCAAAATGAAATGTATGTACTTTTTGCACTATAAACAAAAAAAAGTGACAATTTTGAAAAAAAAAAAAAAAAAAAGTATTTTCTGCTTTAAAACATATCTAATAAAAAAAATCAAATTTTCTTCATAAAATTTAGACCAAAATGTATTCTGCTACATAGTTTTTGTAAAAGAAAATCCCAACAAGTGTATATTGATTAGTTTGCACAAAAGTTATAGCATCTACAAACTATGGTACATAAAATGGAATTTTTTTTTTCATACTAGTAATGGCGGTGATCAGCAGCTTATAGCGGTGGACTGCGATATTGCGGTGGACATTTTTACACTACTGACATTTTGTGGGAACCAGTGACACTAATACAGTGATCAGTGCTAAAAATATGCACCGACACTGTACTAATGACACTGGCTGGGAAGGGGTTAACATCTAGGGTGATCAAAGGGTTAAGTGTGTGCCTAGCTATGTGCTTGGTGTACACTAGGTGGTGCTTTTACTAGGGGAAGTGATGGATCGTGTTCTCAGCTCTGCAGAGAGACATGATTAGGGTCGTCTTTAACCTGTTCCCGTCCAGCCAATAGCAGAATGATGGCCGAGCGGGACTCTCATTGATCCCAAGTGGGTGTCATGACGTCCTTCCGAGATCGCGCTGCACTGTGGCGAAATCTGTCACTGGCTGTGTACCTTCGACCCAGCCAATGACAGATCTGTATACCGGCCCATTGCCAGTACCATGTGACCAATCACAGCAGGTCACATGATAATTGTAAACAATGGATGGCTTCCATTCATGCCATCCATTATACACAATTGTGTCACTAGCTGTGATTGGTGACATGTACAGACTGGGCCAATCACAGCCCATGTGTCATGTGATTAGCTGTGGCCAATGACAACAAAAAAACCTGAATTAAATCAGGTGTATTATGTGTAATATGAAAAAAAAAAAATCTTAAAAAAAAAAAAATGTAATAAAAAACCATTGAAACACATTTTTTGTTTTCTTCATACTGTCACCAGGCAGTGTCCCCAATCACCGCCACACCAGTTACAGTCAGGTCCATAAATATTGGGACATCGACACAATTCTAACATTTTTGGCTCTATACACCACAATGGATTTGAAATGAAATGAACAAGATGTACTTTAACTGCAGACTGTCAGCTTTAATTTGAGGGTATTTACATCCAAATCAGGTAAACGGTGTAGGAATTACAACAGTTTGCATATGTGCCTCCCACTTGTTAAGGGACCAAAAGTAATGGGACAATTGGCTTCTCAGCTGTTCCATGGCCAGGTGTGTGTTGTTCCCTCATTATCCCAATTACAACGAGCAGATAAAAGGTCCAGAGTTTCATTTCAAGTGTGCTATTTGCATTTGGAATCTGTTGCTGTCAACTCTCAAGATGAGATCCAAAGAGCTGTCACCATATCAGTGAAGCAAGCCATCATTAGGCTGAAAAAACAAAACAAAACCCATCAGAGAGATAGCAAAAACATTAGGCGTGGCCAAAACAACTGTTTGGAACATTCTTAAAAAGAAGGAACGCACCGGTGAGCTCAGCAACACCAAAGACCCGAAAGACCACGGAAAACAACTGTGGTGGATGACCGAAGAATTCTTTCCCTGGTGAAGAAAACACCCCTTCACAACAGTTGGCCAGATCAAGAACACTCTCCAGGAGGTAGGTGTACGTGTGTCAAAGTCAACAATCAAGAGAAGACTTCACCAGAGTGAATACAGAGGGTTCACCACAAGATGGAAACCATTGGTGAGCCTCAAAAACAGGAAGGCCAGATTAGAGTTTGCCAAATAACATCTAAAAAAGCCTTCACAGTTCTGGAACAACATCCTAATATGACAGATGAGACCAAGATCAACTTGTACCAAAGTGATGGGAAGAGAAGAGTATGGAGAAGGAAAGGAGCTGCTCATGATCCTAAGCATACCACCTCATCAGTGAAGCATGGTGGTGGTAGTGTCATGGCGTGGGCATGTATGGCTGCCAATGGGACTGGTTCTCTTGTATTTATTGATGATGTGACTGCTGACAAAAGCAGCAGGATGAATTCTGAAGTGTTTCGGGAATATTATCTGCTCATATTCAGCCAAATGCTTCAGAACTCATTGGACGCTTCACAGTGCAGATGGACAATGACCCAAAGCATACTGCAAAAGCAGCCAAAGAGTTTTTTTGGGGAAAGAAGTGGAATGTTATGCAATGGCCAAGTCAATCACCTGACCTGAGTCCGACTTGAGCCTGCATTTCACTTGCTGAAGACAAAAACTGAAGGAAAATGCCCCAAGAACAAGCAGGAACTGAAGACAGTTGCAGTAGAGGCCTGGCAGAGCATCACCAGGGATGAAACCCAGCATCTGGTGATGTCTATGCGTTCCACACTTCAGGCTGTAATTGACTGCAAAGGATTTGCAACCAAGTATTAAAAAGTGAAAGTTTGATTTATGATTATTATTCTGTCCCATTACTTTTGGTTCCTTAACAAGTGGGAGGCACATATGCAAACTGTTGTAATTCCTACACCGTTCACCTGATTTGGATGTAAATACCCTCAAATTAAAGCTGATAGTCTGCAGTTAAAGCACATCTTGTTTGTTTCATTTAAAATCCATAGTGGTGGTGTATAGAGCCAAAATGTTAGAATTGTGTTGATGTCCCAATATTTATGGACCTGACTATATGATGATGCTGTACTGCACTGGTGACAGTATGTAAAAAACCCACATTTGTGAAAAATAAATTTAAATTTCGTTATTTTCCAAAACATTATGAAAAAAAAAAAATTACAACTTAAACAACATTCGCCATGCCGCTTACTAAAAACCTCGGACTGTCTACTTTAAAAAAAAAAAAAGGGGTCATCTGTACTGTTGACATTATTGGGTCTCAAGAAATTAGATCAGCCATCAGTACATCAGGACTGATCGATTTTCAGATATAGAACATAGTTTGTGGACTCGATAACTTTCCTACAGACTAATTGTAAAGGAAATTTGTAAATTCTGCATTTTATTTTGTGTGCTTTGCCTATGTATTGTACACGGCACTCATTGTGCACACGCCACTAATAATGTTCTCATTACATGTTTGCATTCCTTCAAGTCCTGATTAGAAATCAGCCTGCCTATGTAACGCCCCTCGTTACCATAAAGTACAACTGTAATATTAATGTGATCCCTACATAATCATGTGTATAAAATACTTCAAATACAAATAAACAGAACAGTTATTTGGAAAGATGCCGAGTGTAAGGTTTGTGTCTGTTCCCCACTGCAGTAGTTAGTAATTTGGACCCACCAATCAATAGGAGGTTAGGAGTTCCCTATAACATTTTCAGTATTAATGTCCAGAACAATAATAAACACTGATTTGGGTTATTTTCACCAAAGAAATTTAGCAGAATACATCTTGGCCTAAATTTATGAAGAACATTTATTTACTTGCAAGTTTTCATAACAGAAACAAAGAAAAATGTTTTTTCAATTCATTTATTATTTTATTTAGCAAAAATTAAAAACCCCCAGTGGTGATCAAGTACCACCACATGAAAGCTCTAGTTGTGTGAACAAAATTCTAAAAATTTAGTTTGGGTACAGAGTTGCATGACTGCGCAATTGTCATTCAAAGTGCCAGAGAGCTGAAAGCTGAAAATTGGCCTGGGCAGGAAGGGGGTGACAGTCCCCGGTATTGAAGTGGTGAAGTCTGGGCTCTGACCCGGCCATGCAAGGACTGTCACCCATTTCTCCCCCCAACCTCTGTGGGGTCTTTTTTGCTGTGTGCTTTGGGTCATTGCCATGTTGGACTTTCTGGCAGATGATTTTCCTCAGAATTTTGATGGCATTTTTCCTTCTATCCTGACAAGTGCTCCAGTCCCTGCTGCAGAAAACCCCCCCATACCAGGATATTCCCCCCTCCATGCTTTACTGCAGGAATGGTGGGATTTGGATGGTGAGCCGGATTTATAGACATATAAATTTAGTGTTGAGGCCAAATCATTCCATTTTAGTCCCATCTGACCAGAACACCTATTTCCATGTAGCCTCAGAATCTTCAAGGTGTGTTTTGGCAAAGCTCAGTCATGACTACATGTGGCCTTTCTTGAGGAGCGGCTTTTTTCTTGCCACCCTCCCATACAAGCCACATTTGTGGAGGATTTGTGATATTGTTGTCACATGCACACAATGACCACTCTTTGTCATAGATTCCTGCAACTGCTTCAGAATTGCTGGGGACTCTTGGTAGCCTCTCTGACCAGTTTCCTCCTGTCTCTTTCATCCAGTTTGGAGCGAGGACTGATCCAGGGGAGGGTCTGTGTTGTACCAAATACCCTCCACTCCTAAATAAGAGACTTCACTGTGCTTCTAGGCATTGATAAATTATTTGACATTTTTGTTTGTATCCTTATCCCGACTTGTGCCTGTCCACAACTTTATCCCAGAGATCTTTAGACAGTGCCTTGCCACCCATAATTGATCGTTTTCTACAGTTTCACTACCAGGGACTGAAATGCTCCAGG